GTGCTGGCGGCCCGCGCCGACCCGCGCCTGCCCCCGCACCTGCTGCTGGGCCGCCTCTTCCGCTGGCCCGACCTGCAGCACCCCGCCGAGCTCAAGCCGCTCTGCCACTGCCTCAGCTTCGGCCGGCCCGACGGGCCCAGCGTCTGCTGCAACCCCTACCACCTCAGCCGCCTGTGCGGGCCAGGTACGCGCCGCCTCCGCCGCGGGGCCCGCGGTGTCGGACGGGGGGTTGGGGTGGAGAGCCGGGCCCGGACCAGTCTTCGCTTGGTGTCTAAAGTCCGGTTGGAAGTGGCCCGGGGGTCATCGCGCGGGGCACAGAGACCACGTTAGCCGTGCTCTGCCTGGCAAGAGCTGCGTGCGTGTTGCGTGGTGAGACAAAGCTCTGGACCAGCCGCTGGGAAGAAGCTCCTTTCATTTTCCAGGGCCCCTTCCCCTGCAGAGGACTAGAGCCCTACCAGCAACTTCTTAAATTGAAGGATGTGCATTTGTTCTCAGGTGGCTGCTCCCCCTGGCTTTCCTATAGACAAATGGGGCCCAGCCAGCTCCGGCTCAAAGGAGCAGCTCCAGCTCCAGATACAATTTTTATATTGCAGATTTGCTGTGGGTCACACCTGTTTTGCTCTCCCTGGTGAGGATGGGTGGGGGGAGAGGCCGCTCAGTCAGACCAGGATCTGGCCCTGATGCTGCGTCCAGTGGGTTTGCTGCTCTGCCCGCTCGTGTGTTGATTCTCCATGCATGGACCGTTGTCATGAAATCAGCTACGCGGTGTGAAAAAGCTCTCTGGGGTGGGAGGGAGGGAGTCCGAAGCAAGGACAGGTCCATCTTTGGATCATATTTTGCACACGCAGGTGATGCCATTAGATCCAGTTCGCGTTGTTGGCTCCTTTTTTAAAATCTTTTCCTTTGAAGCTCTTTAATGCTTCTGAAAAGGCACCTTGGCTGCGTGGAGTGGAGTCTGCGCGCTGGGAGGGAGCAGGCGCATCGCGTGCTCTTGTTCTGCTATAAGTCCAGATACACATTGCAAGATCCTTTCTGAGAGTGGGAAGGGACTGCGGCCCCAGGGGAAAACTAGCCCTATGGGAAGTTTTAAAGTTGTAATAAAGTAACGCCACAGGTCAGCCCAGCTTTCTACCCTCACAGCAGCTTGCTTCCAGGTCCGGGAGGGGGGACCGGGAGACCACACTTTCCTTTCGGCAGTGTAGGGTCACATGGCGCCACTGGGTTTTAAGCAGATCTTGAATTGGGAATTGCTGGTGATGCCAGGGTACGAGTTCCCAGTAACCCTCGTTTTTGCTTTTTCTAGAACGTTACATTTTAAAAAACTCATTTCTATAATAGCGTAAAATGAAGACAGTCTGTGCAGTTAAGTGGTAAAGGGCTAGGCCGTTTGCTCAATCAGCTCTTCCACCCCTGGGTAGTCCACAAGCTTCGTAGGTAGCTTTGATTCAGGGCTGTCTTTAAGCACATGCTTAACTTTAAGCATATGACTGTTGGGGTCACTGCAGGATTTAAAAGATGGGGCCCAGGCGAGTGTAGGAGGCTCTCCGCTCTAGCTAGCAGGGTCCCGGGATTGGGGATTGTTGCTGGCGAGGCTGCAATCAGCCCGGCCTGTGATGCTTTATGTTCTGGGAAAAGGGCCTTTTTATTGATGCTGTGCAGTTTTTCAGGCTTTGTAGCATGCTGTCCAGGGAACGCTTGTTAAATCCATGGGTATGCTTTAAATGGGATTATATTAAACACGTGACCAGAAAGTAAAAGCCAAACTTTTCAAAAGTGACCTGTGATTTTGGGCCCCCCCGGTTTTGGGATGTCCAACCGGAGACTCTTTCAAGGGGCCTCTTTTGCAGAAGTCCTGCGCTTAGCACTTTCTAAAACCCCGGCCCTGTTAAAGGTGGGTTTTCAAAATGACCAGTGGCTTTTGGAGATTTGCGGCCTAGGGTTATTTCCATGCAACATTTCCTCCGTGTTCTCACTAGGGATTTATTTGATCTTGACTTGTTATTGCCTAGGAGGGAAAACTTGAGGGCTTGACTATTTTACCTGATATAAAGCACTAATACAAGGTTTTGTTCCTCCAGAGTCTCCTCCACCTCCTTATTCTCGGCTGTCTCCTAATGATGAGCAAAAGCCACTGGGTACGTATTTCCTCTTTACAAGCACTCATGGCAGTCTTTCTTCTTTGTTCACAACAAATATTGTGTAATACAAATATTTTGTATTATCTCCTAGTGGAGACATGTCCACTGTAGAGCATAAAGCACATGCCCGAATCTCGAGGCCTGGGCTTCTCCTGATTCCTGAACCCACAGCAGTTGACTGGTTGTAGGGAGTCAAGGGACAAATATCAAATGAGTTGTGGTTTTATCCTATTGTAACTACTGCAGGTTTGATCTTATAATGCCCTTTTTGTGCTACTGGCGTGTTTTCCAGAGTAATCTCTTGATAGAGTGAAATAGTTGTATTTTGAATGAAGCTGCAGTGATTTTCATACCTGACGTTTTACACTGGATGTCAGGGTAGGATGGGAGACACAACTCCTGGCTTCTCTTCCTAGCTCAGCCAGCGACCTGCTCTTTGACCCCAGGCATGTGTCTCCGTGTAAAATGAGAACAGTGATACTTACCTTCTTTTATGAGCTGCTGGAAGGATTTCTAGATGAAGAGCCAGGGTGGAAGAGCTAACTATTATTTATTGTAATGTTTATTCAACTCAGACACAGGCCCTTTCAGCTTCATCCTGTAAAACATTTTAAGGAAATCTCGCTTTTCCCTGTGAATTATTATGACTTTGTAAAATATCCGAAAGGAGCTTGGTCAAGTAGGCTTGGCATACAACGTGGCCCACTTTAAAACTGGCAAAATTCAGCTGAGTCTGTCTTCCAAAATATATATTATCTTTGAAAAAATTTAAAATAACCCTCAGTAGACACAATGCCAAATCCTGCCTTTGCCTTCGTGGTGCTCAGTGCCCCTCCAGGTAAATGGGCGGTGCCATGCACCTCGGAGGGGAGCAATTAGATGCGTCCGTTTTGATACTTCTCTGTAAGCAGGGGGTTATTTTGTGCCAGTTTGCAGCACACTGAATAGCACTTTGCTTTTCCGTTTGGTCAGTGGTTCTGGTTTACAAAAGAGGAAGCAAGCAAAGAGGGTCACCAAGGGAAGGGGGAGGTAGGTGACAAATATGTTTTTTTACAGTAAAAAAAAAAAAAGGAGCAGCTTGGCACATGCATAACATTAAGGGCCTAGATAGAGGTAGAGAAGGTCCTGTCCCAGAGAACACGAGAGTGGGAGATTGTGGGGGGGCCTAAGGAAGGTCAGGTTAGGCCCAAAGTATGGGGTTAAGATCACAGGGTTGGGCCCTTGATCCTTTTTGTAAAAAATAAAAATAAATAAATAAGCAGCACAGCAGCAAAACACGAGCGGTTGGGTTGTCATGTGTACACAGCACCTGTGCAAAGGCCTCGCAGGAAATAAATCCCCCTTCCTGGCCTTCTGTCTCCTTGGCTGGGTCTTGAGCCCTGGGGTGCAGGTGCACAGGACTTGCATGCTGGCGCTGTCCTGGAGCAGGTGGGCAGGGAAGCACGGGAAGGGCCAGCTGATGTGAGAGACCAGCAGCAAATAGCTAAGACCCAGAGTCAGCAAAATGAGGGAAGGAATTGTGCGCCACAGGTTTCTGAGTCCTGGTGCATTGTGCAGGGGGTGTAATTTGTATCCCCTGACTTTCCTCCGAGCCAGGGGGCTCTTTAAGGCACAGCCTAAATAGTCCACGCTGCCTTTTACAGTCAAGCACGGTGCTCTTCACTGCTGGTGGGTCACCCCAGAGGCGTTCAGAGTGTCCTAGAAAAGACATCATGTGGCTGCGGGAGCGCCTGTTAGATGTAGAAAAAACCCGAGCCCCATACTTACTCCCTTCAGAAGCTGCGTGTGCTGCAGGCGGGGGAAAATCGTGAGTGATGTGTGAATTTATTAACACAACGGCCAGCGATTCAGGGAGATGCATGGCTTTGCTTGCTTGCAAAAATGATGGTTAATCTGTGAGCAAACAGTTGAGCACTTAATGAGAAAGAGGGAATAACAGCGGCTCTTAACTTGTTAAAACAAAGTTTCCTTAGCTTCAGCAAAGAGGAAGGAAGGAAGCAAGAATAAACAGCTTCAAGAATTTTAATGGTGATAATTAAGGATAGTAACTATGAATTGTTTGGAGGCTTAACATAACCTTATCCAGTAAGCACCAAGTTCCTACTTGTTTGATCCATTGAACTGCAGTTATTTTTGTGGTCAAAGCAGTTGAAACTTTACATTTTGCACGTCAGAGAAGGAAAGTTGAGTGCCTGCTTCCTGCCTGGGGTGCATGGTTCCTCGTCGGTAGGCATCTGGCAGGTGATGTGGGCTGGTGGAGCCCTGAGTGCTCAGACGGTGCTTGTGATGCAAACATGCTAAATGCTCTTCTTTTATTTTCCAGATCTATCAGATTCCACGTTGTCTTACACTGAAACAGAGGCCACTAACTCGCCAAACATCACGCCTGGAGACTTCTCAGGTTGGCAGATGCTAATGTTCACAGTAGAAGGGCTGTTGTATTGAGCTGCGTGAAGCCAGCTTGCTGGTGTGAGCAGGAAAGCAGAATGAAATAGATGCATCTGTCTGAGAGCTTCTTGGTGACAACAGGGAGAAAAACAAATCAAATGCCTGTTGAAGCTGATGGCTCCAGTAGAGACTGTCATGCCCTGGCTGCTGGATGAAAATATTGTTTGTGGTGTGAGTTTACTACTCAGAAAAGGAAGAAAATTCAGGAAGCATCTCCATGCTGGGATGCATCGTCTAGCATGCATGGCACGCACACAATTGTTCCCTGGTAGACTCCTGCCTTGAGTCGGGAGTGTGGGTGAGAAATGGTCTGTGAGCTACAGGCACTGTTTCACAGGGGTAGTGAATGGGGATGTTCTCATGTAAGGGTGATAAGTGTGTTCTTGAGTGTTTCGAGTGTGCACAAAAGGTATTTTAGGGTCCCATGTGCAGAGCCTTGCTCTGGTGGGCAGAATTTGTCCCTTTCCTCTCATACAAGCCTTTGAAGGTGCTGAGCAAGAGCTTGCATAGTTGGGTCCATCGGTCTTGCTCCTGGGATGTCTCCACTCAATCTGTGCAGCTCCCGTTGGCTTTCCGGGCTTCCACTTGGGCCCAGTGCTGTGATCACGTCATGGGTTTTAGGTCGGGGTGAAGGTAGAAACCACAGGTGGTGTGCTGATTTGGGCAGGAACCCTGCTGTATTTCCGTCCCCGGAATAGCTCCATTGACTTTAGTGGGTCACAGACCAGCCCTGGTTGTGTTTTCTCACACGCTGTAAGTTTTGGGGTGGAAGGGACCAAATTGGCAAGCTCATCTCTGGTTTTCATGCGCAGAATGGCTTAGTATGGTCGATGGCGAATCTATGAGGACAGGAACAAATGCTGGCTAAGTGGCTGGCACACCCTTTACTCCCGCCATAGGACATCCGCCTTGCGAACGCAGACATCTTGCTTGTTCGCTCCTGACGCTTCGCAGAATAGCGGCTGATGGATCCCTCCCTTGTCCCTCTGCCAGGGTGATGTTGTCTCCTGCCGTGTGTTCCTTTGGCTTCCTCGTGCGTTTTTGTCACAACTCGTTCTCGCCGCCTGTTCGCAGTTGCCCTGGGATCACATAGCTGAGGGCCGGGGCCATTTTTAACTAGCCTTATTAGCTCTGTTAATACAGCTCCCATGAAGATTAGCCTCATTTGCTGCATCTGCTGGCAGGGCCACCACAAGTGGTTAAGGCTCCCTTTCTAAGCAGGCCCAAACGCCGGCACTTTCCTGTCATTTGTTTTCTCAGTGCTGGTTTTCCTGATTATCGGGCTTCGAGGGACTTCCGATCGGAGAATGGGGGCTGCTTGTAGGGGCATGCATGGATGGGTACCGGCCTGAGGGGATGCTCCGCGCGTGCTGGCGGCAGCGCAGGACTTCGTTCCTGTTCTTGTCCGTGTTGGGCTGTTCCAGATCCCTGTCCCCAGTCTTCTCATTTCACCGTGTTAAAGAGTTTATCACGAGCCTTGGAGGAACTCTGAATTCCTCAGGATGTTTGAACAGCTCCAAAATTCACAGAGGTACATGGTGTTGGCTGGCCCTGCCGGGCTGTAATAACCTCGAGTTTTTCTCCCTTATGAATTTTTCACTGCTCTCGTTTCCCTTTAAGGTTCTTTTGATACCGTTCAATACATCTTGAGGTTTCTCTGGACTGAATCGAACGTGCCTGATGTTGCTTTTGTTGTGCTGCCAATTGTCCCTAGCAGGGGAACAATTGAGAGTGGGGAGCTGGACCATTTGGAGCTGCGTTGTTGTAAATACGTGTATTCAATTTCTCACAAAAATTCCTTGTGCTCTGCAAATGTCCTGACGCCCGCGGCCTTTACGGCAACTTGATAATAGCCATCCATCGTAGCAGCAGAGTCTTAAAAACCGAGGTCTTGTGAATGGTGGCCGACTTCTGCAAAGAAGGGCATCTGGCAGGATTTCTGTTGAAGAGACATTTTGACTTTTATTTGAACAGCATAATGATAACATGTGACCAGATTGCACTGAAACTGGATACTTCTCTCCCACTGTGTAGGTTTAAATGGTGCAACTTTTAATAAGAGTCTGGGGCCGGTTGATGTATTTTCCCCCAGTGGCCATGATTACAGATAGAGGATAAGAGCTCCGCTGAAGTTAACCCATGCTTGTCGTCACCAGGAACCAAACATCTTTACTTACAGTGCAAGTGCAGTGTTTTGCTCGCTTTCATTTCCAGTGCAGCGTCTTGGATCAGTTTGAAGGATATACAGCGTTGTGTGAAAGACGCACAAAGCTTGTGTTGCCAACGCCCTTTCTTGCGTGTGTTTAAGAAACTGAAGTGTACATTTACCTCCCGTTCCAAAAATAAGAACATTTTGGATTTAGCATCTAGCCACTGGTATTTATTGCTTTAGCTCTGATCATCAAAGATGCTTTTCCTTTTAAAACCACAAAATTCAATTTCTGGATAACAGAGAGATCCATTCTTTACTGTCGTTAGTGTAGCCGATGAACTTCCAGCCCCTAAGTTTTAGCAAGAAGTCAAAAGGTTATCTGCACCACGTTTGTAAGTTAAAAAGACTCTTTTTGAACTTGACCTTATTTTCATGGAGACAGCAGTGATTGCAGGACTCTAGGAAAGCCTCTAATGACCCTGCGGGTCCATCATAGACATTGAAAGATATAAGTAGCTTAATTGTAGCAGAGGAAAGGGTATCTGAAAGCACGTCTCTCTCATCTTTTCCCTTTATCAAAAGCCCTTTTAGGATTGCTCTAGAAAAAGAGTGTAGATGTGCATCAGGCTCTCGAGGAAAGCTTTGTACATTTATTATGGAAAAACTGAACACGTTTGTTCCATGCAAACAACCACAGCTCTTGGCAATGCAACCCCTTGAAACTTTCTGAAACTGGAAGGTGGCCTGACAGCTTGGGCTTGATCCTGGAATGAGACTTGTATACCTGCTTTAATCTTACATACCATATGCCATGGGCCATCTTGAATGATGGTGTTGAGGGTGAGGCTGTTCCAGAAGCAGCCAGGTCAACACGAGTTGGAAGCACAGCAGGGCTCCGGACTTTGGTCATAGGAGGTCTTGTGTGGCCTGCGGCAGCGCAGCCAAGGTGGAGCGATGAGTGCAAGTAAAACTAGACTCTGCTGCTGAGTGCAAACGCTGCTTGCACGAAGGAGGTCGGAAGCCCTGTGCAAGGCAGCGGTGGAAAAGGGGTGGGCAAATGCTGAGTGTCTGAGGAGGTGTGAGGCTCGTGCTGCCCTTTTATGGGAAGAAGGCCCTCAACCAGGCTTTCCCCCCTTAGGCATCCTCTGCCTGTATGTGCACAGGGACCTTGGCACCCGTGCCTCAGCACGCTTATTGATACAAGAGCAAGCTCCTGGCCTTGCCCACCACCATTTTTCCCTTGCACTTGAACATATGGTATTCTGCCTTGGAGCTGTGCTGCATCACACCTGACTCTTCAGAGAGAACCCCCCAATCCACATGGGACCAGCAGGGCTGGGGGGCCACCCTGGGCTCTTCTGAGAGATAAAGTGGGGTCACATGGAAGGGTGGGTGCATAAAGGGCAAACAGCTGAGAAACCAAACCTCAACCTTGTGAGTCACTAATGATAGAGCCTTGGTAGGAAGTTTGGTTTTTTCTCCAGCACCAAATGCCAGGAAACTTGTGCCCATTAGCCCTCTAGGCTTGTAGAGGGCTGTGCTGTTGGGGAAACTGGTTCTTCTCCATGGGGAGGTGCTGGAGCAATGGGAGCCCTTCCTTGCCAGGACAGTCCTGCAGGGTGGGATGGTGGCGCTGGATTTCCGTGACCTTCCCCGGGTCTCTGGGCCCTGGCAGGTGTCCGCTGCCCCGACGGCTGATTTAAAGGAAGTGAAGGAGAATCTGAACCCGGCATTTTCCTCACTCCCCGCTCCGAAGCACGGTGCAGGCTGGCTGTCGGCACGGTGTCTTAATTTAAATGAATGTGACTTGGTGGCAGCATCAGGTTTGCTGCCTGTGTTTGGAAGGGTGTGAGATGGGTGCCAGCAAAAGCCGAGGCTGCTGCTGTTGTGAGTTGCCTTTTCGGAGAGCCTGATTCCTCCAGGATTTCAGCGGTGGGTCTGGCTGCTTAGGTCCTCTCTGCCACTGCTCTCGGTCCTTAGTTGGAGGTAGTGAATCAGACATCAGGCAGGGCAGCACCTGGTGCAGAGAGGCAGCAGGTTTTGAAGGTGACTCATTTCCCAGTGGCTTCAGTCCTGAAAGGCAGTTAGCACTTGAAGCTCCCCGCATGTCAGTAGGAATCGCAGCTCCTCTCCGTACCTTTCGGGAGCTTACCCCAGGGAAGGCTCAACACATCTCTGCATTTTGCTCTTCTCCCACTGCTTTGAGAGGATCCAGGTTGAGGTTTGGGAGGCCTCAAGGCAAGGCCATGATGGTCACCGAGCTCCATGACTTTTCACACCCCAAAATAACCCCACAACTCTACCTGGGAGCTGGCACGTGGCACCTTCATCACCCTTCTCGATCTGCTTCAGTACCACGAGTGCTATGCAAAGGCTCGGCGGGACGTGGTGCCTTCAGGCTGCTAGAGTTTCAGTCCCTTATAAAGATCAGCTGGGCTTCGGGAACTGGGGACATCCGCTAGTTCGTGGAGCCATGAATAGTATTTTTTCTGCACTAAGCTTTTTCTCAGCAAAATACACCGAGTTCGTAATAGTGAAACATTTTGGCAACTTCTTGCTGAAACATTATTTTGGAGAAAAGGGCTCTTTTTAAAGAAAATACAGAAACATTAACAGTGGTCAGTCTCAGCCCCCTCCAGAGAAACCAGCTTGATTTCTGGTTTGGATTCCCATTTTGAGATTCCCTCTACATTTCTTTTTTTTCCCTAAAAATAAAATATTTTGAATTTTTTTTAAGTGGTCTTGATGACCAGAAGCTTTTGTTTTAGACCTTGTTGCAGTGAAACATGCTGGTGACCGTG